GTTCCTTAGAAGCTAGGATAGCAAGATTTTGTCTTTTCTACTTTGGACATGTTGTTATATGGGACCAGTCCCTGATATCATGCTTGGTAGAAGGTCAGTGAAAAAGAGGAAGACCCCCAATGAAATGGATTGCCATCGTGGCTGCATCAAAGGACTCAAACAGAACAGTTGTGCGGATGGCGCAGAACTACCGGGCACTGTTTTCATGTACGTGGGTCACTATGAGTCAGAGTCATCTGGATGGCGACTGGTCATTCATCCTAAACATTTGCATGGTTCTCGCTATAGCTCACACAGAGCCTTGTTGCCTCTACTTTATATTCTGCTCTACAGCCCTCAGTAACCTAGAGGTTAGAACCCCGGGATGAGAAGATGTAAGCCCCATACAGAAATGAAGGTGCACAGGGGAGATGACAAAGCAGACAGGAACTGAAGAACTCCTCCCTTGGGGACTATTCAGTGGTGTACAAATAGTCCACGGGGTGTCTCTATTCACAAAGGATTTCAAAAGGCAGTGAGAAAGGACTGCTAAGCCTAGAGTTCCACTAACAGGGAGTATGTGTGTTTATTTTGGAGGGGCTGGGGTAGGGGGATCTGCCTTTGCTGCACAGACCATGCGGTAGTCTCTCCATGGTTCAAGTCTCATTGCAGCAGCAAGTGTGCTGCCTCAGGAAGTAGCATGTCAATCTGCCGGCAGATTACCAGGGCCCAAGGGGTCCAAGTCCAAGCTCTCCTTCTTTTGACTTTTAGTTTGAAAGCTCAGCTGAAACCTGTTTACCATGGGTGACCCTCTCAGCATTCAAAATACCAGAGGCATAGGTCCTAGCATCACAGCAACATGCAAGTCACCACAGTGGGACAGACTGACAGACAAGTTCCATCTCCTACCACTCTGCCAGTTTGTCATACTGTCGTGACTTGCATGTTGTTGTGATGCTAGAACTGATGCCTCTGGTATTCTGAATGCTGAGAGGATCACCCATGGTGGGCAGGTTTCAGCTGAGCTTCCAGACTAAGATAGACTAGGAAGAAGGTGAGGTAGACTTCTTCCAAATGTTTAACACTGCAAAGTTTGTGAATATCAGTGAAACACTGTGAACACCAGGATACTGAATATTGATACATGGTGAAGAGCACCAGAATAT